AGGAATTTTAGCTCCTCGCTGGTTTCCCATTTTCATTTATCTTTTAAAAGACCTTTTTAAAAAAGAATTATTTTATTTGACTTTATTTATTTTAATTTGACCAGAGAGGGACAGAGTGAGAGAAAGAGAAAGTAAGAAAGCAAGCCATCAGGTCTGAGACTCAAACCATGGTCGGACATGTGGGAGTCCAGTGCACTTAACCATCACACCACCTGCTGGCTCCTCCCCATAACCATTTCTAATCTCTGCCACTCTTGTTATCCTGGAAGGCACCATGATGGCACCAAAGGACAACTTGGGGAGCAAGTTGTATGTTCTTACATACGTTCTCTTCATCAACCTTCTTAATCCCTCCCAAGCAAACACATAATCTTAATAAAAACATTGTCCTTTTCTGCAAACAGGGTGTCTACAAAAGTACTTTTCAAATGTTATTGAGGCCAGCAGTTGGCGTAATGGCTATGTTGCTGGACTCCCATGTAGTCGACAGCGGTTCAAGTCCCAGACCCAGTGACTTAAACTCATGCCTGGTGCGTGTGCATATGTGCCCAAGATTCCTGAGAGGAGAATGGAGGAGAAGGGATTGTGGCATGGCCATCCCCCCTGGGGGGTGATTTCTCGCTTTCCATCTCTCTGTCTCTCTGTCTCTCTGTCAAGCTCACACGCCCTATAGCAAAAACCTCTCAAAAAAAATTATTGTGCGTATATATCATTCAGAAATCTTGTTTACTTATTTATTTATTTTTTAATTGGCAGAGGGCGTGTGTGTTTGTCAGAGAGAGAAAGCACTGCCACCTCCACCATGGGGCGTGGCCATGCTGCAGTCCTTTCCCTCTATTTCTCCAGCTGTCAGGACCTTAAGCATGCTTGTACACAAGCCTGGTGTTCAGGTCACCAAGGCCAGGATTCCAATTGTTAGTGTAGAGACCAGAACCTTCGTTCTTGTTTAGAGACAGAAATACACTTGTAAAACCAAGGTAAAATGAAAGTGAAAGTACATTCTTGAGAGGTAGGAGAGGGCTGGCTCCTAAGGTGGATCCTGGCTCTTACTCTTTCACTACAGCTGGTGCTCAGTTGGATCTTATTACCAAATAATATCCCACATGGGTCAATGTAAATAATATGTTAATGAACTAAAGGTCCTTTGAGGACAACCAAGATCAATGCTGAGCATGCTCCAAGTTATGTAAGCCTCTGTGTTGGCTCCCCTGCCCGCCATCTTGAGTAGCAGGATGCTACCTGCCACAAAAGTGCTGAAAGACTGTTTGGGGTATTTCCAATGGGCAGTCAGCAGACTTCTAAATCCTCCTCTCCTTGCTAATGTCTGACTATCCACTTACCCTAACACAATTGTGGTCACCATGTGGAATCTGGTTCTCTTAACCACTAGGCTATAGCCACGCCCCCCCACCGCCATCTTGTTTAAATGTAGGTTCAGGAGGCCTAGAGTGGGCTTGAAGAACCTGTGTTTCTAACAAGCTTCAGAGTGATGCTAATGCTGCTCTTGAGAAATCACACCAAGTGTAGAAGTCCTAGGCAAAATCACCTCCATCTCTTACCTTCCAGACAAATCCCTCCTGATATTAGTCTACAGTCAGAGGGAGTGTGGGGTAAGAGAGCAGGGGGCCTGAAGTCTCTCTCTCTCTCTTACACACACACACACACACACACACACACACACACACACATACACACACAAAACCTATACCGCATGGCTTCAAGAACTTTTACACACACACACAAAACCTATACCACATGGCTTCAAGAACTTCAAGACTAGAACTGTGTTCTCCTGGGCCCTGCTAGGAACTGCCAAGAATCATATCCATCTCTGGGCCTCAGTTTCTTCAAGTGTATTCCCTGGGTTGAGCTGGCAAATAACTGAAGGCCTCTCAAGCCCTAACAATCCTTGATCCCAATTAACCAAAGCATATCTGAGGCCAAAGCCTGAAACAGCTTCCCATCCAAACACCACCCCATCCTGCTAATTTGTCTTTGGAAGGATCATTACCTTCTAAGGTGTCAGTGTCTTTTGCTTACAAGTTGAAGGATGATAAAAGTCACCTGGTTTTGGCAAGTCAGGACACAAACAGGGCCTTGTACTTGAAGGTGCCTAGCATAGTTCTTAACAAAGTAAGGATCTGTCGGTGTGACTGACTTGGTTTGTGTACCTGGAGAGAATGAGGAGCCTGCTTACTTATGTCAGGGTGAAGGAAGGTGAGACTTAAGGTCCTGCCCTCCAGTCATCTGAGTGCACAGAGTCTACATAAGGGGACAGAAGGTGGCATCTAAGGAGTGAAGTGGGGAAGAGGCAGTTACTAGGAACTGAAAAAGAACTAAAGCAGATGGGTAGGAGGAGCATTCTTACAATCCCAAAGTAACCCCTGATGAGTAGGCATTGGCAGGGGGACTTAGGACATGTTTTCCACCCTTCGATACTGGGAAATCATGTCTTCTAGGGAGACAGCAGTGGTGTGAGGGTATCATTGCTTGATTGAGGGGCTTTGGATGGTAGAGATAGACTTCTGATGGGGGGGTAGAAGAGCCCCCCAGACAGGCTGCTTGACTCCTTCAGGGTTTTAACCACTGTGGTCAGGAAACTGGGAAGTGCTGATGGGTGTGCAGAGGAGGGCAGACAGCTGTGCTAAGAAGGAATTTCAACCTAAACATACTAGAAGAGAATAATGGTGGCAATGATGACAGCCCCTCAATTTTAGTGTCATGACAGCACTGTAAGTGTATGGAATCGGGCAACCTCATTAGTGTCACTTATGTTTAGAAGATTTCACGATCCCATCTAGCTGTCATTTTAACAGCTTATTGAAAAAATACTATTATGTGTACCTACACCGCCTTGCACTTCTTCTAGTTAGTGTCTTGACAACATGGGTGTGATAGGAGACCTGTTTCAGATTTAACTTTGTATCTGGAGAGGAGGGTTGATCTTTGTGATCTGCTGGGCCCTCTCATTTATTAGATGAACTCCAATATTGTTTATGACAATAAACAGCAGTGGTAGCATTGTCCCCCAACACCTGTAGCTTCTGCTATTCTTTTTTTTTTTTTTTTTTTTCTTTTTTTGGAGGGGACTGTGGGAGAAGGAAGGACAGGGTGGGAATGGTATTTTCATTAAATGAGTTTTGATGTTGACCTAAGACCTTGATAGAAAAATCGAATCTCCCACCCAGCAAAGGGACAGGAGGGGCAGCCATTAAAATCTCAAAGCCCTCCCGGGCTTCAGTGTAATGGCTATGTTGCTCTCGACTCCCATATAGTCGATGCGTGCGGGCCCAAGATCCAGAAAGGAGAATGGAGGAGAAGGGATTGTGGCATGGCCATCCCCCTGGGGGTGGGGGGGGGGTGGGGGGGTGATTTCTCGCTTTCTGTCTCTCTGTCTCTCAATGTCTGTCTGACGAGCGCACACGCCCTATAGCAAAACAACAACAAAAACAAACAAACAAACAAAACTCTCCAAAAAAAATCTCAAAGCCCTCCCCTAGAGCCCCATCTGTGGTCGATTTGGATTAGTCTCTACAGTGCTCGGCAGGCCAGCGCCTTCTGGGGGTCTTCGAGTGATCAAACGTGGCCATCAAGTTCGTTTTTAATAAGGTAGCCGCAGTAGAAGTTGCTGACCACGTGGGGCAGACGATAGCCCCAGGAAACAATGGTCAAGACCGTCACTGGAGGGCTCGCGCGGGTCTCCTTCCCATCCCGCAGCATGCAGGCGCCGTGCACGCTGGGGCTCGGCGGGCGGGGGCTCGCGCCATCGGGGCGTGCGCGCGGCCGGCAGCAGCGGAGCCGCGCACGCCGGGACTCCAGAGCCGCCGTGGCCCTTTCCGGGAGGGGCGGGGGGGGCGGGGCGGG